TCCAGGTGTTAGGTATCTACGTGGCTCCCAAGGGTCCCAGACCTCCTACCTTTCCTGCTACACCCCCGCTTCCTATACCCGCAGACCCTCTGCTTAATGCCTCGATTTAGCACAAAAGTCTACTACACCCAATAAGTACTCGAGTTCCCGCAACCTCGGGTCTTCAGCCGACCCTGAAACAGCAGGTAGAAACACCTGGTAGAGTGGCAGATTTCCCAGGTGACCCGGGGCGGAAGTGCACACCCGGAAGCAGGTGAGCGACACTCCGGGCTTCGTTCTCCAGCGCACAACTCGGCGGCGGGGCGGGGCAGGACGCGCGGCGCGAATTGTGACGCACGCGTGCAGCGTACTCAGTGCGCAGGCGCTCTCGGCGGCGATTCGACGGTTTCCGGTTCCGCCGTCCTCTTTCTCGTCAACGAGGCGGCGGAGCAGGTTGGTGGAAGTGTCCGTGCGGGTTCGCGTCGGATCGGTGTCGAGCGGGCGGTACGGGGCCGAGGCAGCGGAGGGACGGCCCGAATCGGTTCGTGCGGGTCAGGCTCCGCGGGTCGGCTAAGCAGCGCGTATTGGGCCAGTGTTTTGGGCCCCAGGAGGCGAACCGGCCTTTGGGAGAACGGCTTGCCCGCGCCGCCGGCTTAAGCTATCTGACGGGGCCTCGGGGTGGGGGTTTGGTCTTGTGCAGATCCAAATTAGTGGGTGGGATTTTAAGCATGTAACTTTTTCTCTGTGCTTTAAAAGTATTAAAACCTTCATCCCCACCCCCTAAGTAGGGTCTCTACCTATCTCCTTTTCTACATTTGTAAAGAAGAAGCCGGTAGTGTGTCTTGTGGGTGTGTGGGTGTGTGTTTTTAATGAAAACAAATGCCTGTGTAAACAAGTATGTGGCACGTGGTTGGCAGATGGGTTGGAGCAAAGGCAAGAGGTGTGGTCTAAGAAGTTTGGGGGTAACTGAGAAGGAAGCCAAAGTGGGTATGAGCTGTAGTTGGAGAGGAGAGGCCCTGGAGGGGAATGACTATTAAGATGGGGTTCCCACCCAAACTGCAGAAAGGGTACTTTGTAGAGATGTGTTAGGGGTTGATGAAAGGGAGGGAGGGAGGATGGGTTGATGGAACCCCCAGATCACATTTGGGGGAAATGTGTAAGGCAAAATGGTGCCCGGGCCAGGTACTTCTCATTGCATCTGCAGACTTGGAGGGCTGGAAGGCCACAGGCACTGGGGTGGGCCTACAGGTGGGCTCCATGCAGGGACAGCACCGGCAGCCAGGGCTTGGGCAGGCCAGCCCCCCAGCTCAAGACGCTGGGGCCTGACAGTACTCCCTACTTTGTCCCTGCCTCCCCAGCAGACGCAGAGATGCAGATCTTTGTGAAGACCCTGACTGGCAAGACCATCACCCTTGAGGTTGAGCCCAGTGACACCATTGAGAATGTCAAAGCTAAAATCCAAGACAAGGAGGGTAAGTTTGGGTAGCTATGGGTGCTGAGGCCTTGCAGTGCTTTTTCTGCATCATTTCAAGAAGGCATTTTATTTCTATCTGGGTTTCCCTTCTGACAGATTGGAGTTAATGGTGGAGAAAGGCGGGGAGGGGGCAGCGAGGGAGCGCGGAGCTGCCAGTAATGCTTGCCAGAGCCTCAGTAACTGAGATTCTCTCAATCCCCAGGCATCCCACCTGACCAGCAGCGTCTGATTTTTGCGGGCAAACAGCTAGAGGATGGTCGCACTCTCTCAGACTACAATATTCAGAAAGGTATTGTGTGTGTGTTGGCTGAACAGGGCCCCATAAAACCTGGGGCCCAGGTGGGACATTGATGTCAGTGGTGTTTTTCTAGTTGTGTTTTTGTTTATTCTCACAGAGGATAGTTTTCCCATTGGTTTTTAGGGAGGGGGGCAGAGAGAAACATTGATTGGTTGCGCACACCCCAAATCGGGCAGGGAAGGAACTGGAAAACCAGATATGTGCACCAGGTATGTGCCCTAGACTGGGAATAGAGCACAAGACCCTCCAGTGCGTGGCTGATGCTCTCACCATTGAGCACACTGGCCAGGGCTGTTTTGTCTTTTTAAGCTTCATCTGAAGACATGCTTGTTTGGTTTGTTTGTTTGTTAATCCTCACCCTGGGATATTTTTCCCATTGACTTTTAGAGTGGAAGGAGCGGGGGTGTCGATCTGTTGCCTTCCCATACGCACCCAAAACTTAATTATGTGCCTTGACCAAGAAGCCAACCTGTAGCCTTTTGGTGTAGGGGATGAAGCTCCAACTGAGCCATAGCGGCCAGGGCAGAGGGGGGTGGTCCTTAAGGTGAGGATCAGAGGAGGTGGGGGAGACTTGCTTTTACAAGGTACTGTTTTTATCCCTGGAAAACAGTACCTGTGTTTCCAAATGGCAATAGTTTCCCATGTTCTCGTTCACCTTATCTTTCTCTCTTTTGTTGTTAATCCTCACCCGAGGATATAGTTCCCATTGATTTTTAGAGAGTGGGAAGGAGGGGGAGAGAGAGACATAGACATAGACGTGAGACACATTGATGTGGTTGCCTCCCGCACTTTACCCCGACCAGGGCCAGTGATCAAGCTTGCAGTCCGAGGGCTGGTGCTCTATCTATTGAGCAACCAGCTAGGGCCACCTTTTCTTTTTTAAAACGTGTTTTTGTTGTTGTTTTTTTACTTAAAAAAAAAAATGTAGCCAAAACCGGTTTGGCTCAGTGGATAGAGCGTCGGCCTGCGGACTGAAAGGTCCCGGGTTCAATTCCAGTCATTTTGCCTTTGCAGCATGCTTTTCTCTTATTACTTGTATTCCTATTATGTGCTAATTTTATTTTATTCTATTTTATTATCTCATTTATGCATACCATTTTTACTTCCTAAATGGTGAATAGGGAGCATCAGAGCATGGTAAGAATCTTGAGGATCGCCCTGACCGGTTTGGCTCAGTGGAGAGAGCGTCAGCCTGCAGACTGAAGGGTCCCAGGTTCGATTCCGATCAGGGGCATGTGCCTTGGTTGCGGGCAATCCCCAGTAGGGAATGTGCAGGAGGCAGCTGATCAATGTTTCTAACTCTATCCCTCTCCCTTCCTCTGTAAAAAATCAATAAAATACATTTTTTTTAAAAAATGTAACTATAAAGGAAATCAGTGCCACTCTTTGCAGCAACAAGCTTTAACTGTTCTGCCTAGCAAAAATAAAAGGTCAGCCTCACACCACTTAGAAATTACGTTACCTGTTGGGAATCCAGCTGGACAGCATTGTTGGCATTTTTTTATTATTATTAGCAATAATTGTGCCTTGGATAAACCTCATTGGCTACGATACTGCCACTGCGCAAACCTATGTTGGCATTTATTAGCCTCAGACTCGCTAAGGTTTTTAGGGAGGGGGGCAGAGAGAAACATTGGACTGGTATGGCCATCACACAAAGGCTCTGCCCTGCATCTGTGGGCCAATTTTGGGGCCCAGGATGAGTCACTGCTTCTCTCCAATCTTCTTTTACTATAGAGTCCACCCTGCACTTGGTGCTGCGTCTCAGGGGTGGCATCATCGAACCCTCCCTCCGCCAGCTTGCGCAAAAGTACAACTGCGACAAGATGATCTGCCGCAAGTAAGCATGCTTGGGGGTGGGGCCTGGTGGAGAGCGGTCAGGTGCCCTGACCAATCCTTTCTCTGCTCAGGTGTTATGCCCGCCTGCACCCCCGTGCTGTCAACTGCCGCAAGAAGAAGTGTGGCCACACCAACAACCTGCGCCCCAAGAAGAAGGTTAAATAAGGTCCCTCCACCAACTCCTTGGATCCACAGGGCCGCCTTCTACCTGAACCCTGTGATGCTGGGGCCTCAATAAAGTTTCTGTTTTGTTGACTGGAGCAGTAACTGGTGTCCATGTGGCTGGTCTGTCTAGTGGGGAAGGTGGCCAGGGGTGGGTATCTCCCTTGGGGACTCCCTGTTTTGTGAGTCCTTGGGTGTTCAGGTGTGGGTGGGTTTCAGAAAGTTAGGAACACCTCAACCTAGTGGAAAACACCTGTTCTCAGTTTAGAATCTTAAAAGCACACACAGGCCCCACCTGATGATTTTGGAGGGGTAAACCTTTGTGGTTTTTCACGACTTTGTATGATGCTTCTGCAAATCAGGCGAGGGCTGGATGCCCTGAGGCCATGCTTTCTTGGGACAATTGGGGCTTGGTGTATGTGACAACTCGGGCCTGGAAAATGTCTAAGAATAGCTGAGACCTGCAGTGCCGGCTAATGTGGAATCTCAGTCACTCCATGTCTCAGTTCAGTTTCACCCACAAACCACATACCCACTCCCCCCTTCTCTGTGCCAGGTCACCACCATCTTGATCTTCCCTTTACCACCCCTGGAGAAGGAAGCGTCTCAGGTCAAACTGGTGAATCCAGCAGAAAGCTTGGAGGCCACTTTAGTTGGCCTCACCCCTGCCCCAAGACTCCTCCCTTCAGATTATTTAGGAGGTCTTTTCAGTCTACTAAAGTCGCCCGGACCTACTTGACCTCTAATGTCAAGCTGTGTTGAAACCCCACTCATGTCAGTCTTGTGAGACTGATGGGATACCAATTTTGTGTGAGATCGGTATGTGTTGACCTAGCGTAATAAAACGCCTACAAACAGAGATAGCTTGCTATGCCTCCTCCCTTCAGATTATTTAGGAGGTCTTTTCACAGTCTACTAAAGTCGCCCGGACCTACTTGACCTCTAATGTCAAGCTGTGTTGAAACCCCACTCATGTCAGTCTTGTGAGACTGATGGGATACCAATTTTGTGTGAGATCGGTATGTGTTGACCTAGCGTAATAAAACGCCTACAAACCGAGATAGCCTTGCTATGCTATACATTCAAGGACAAATGAAAGAAGGCAAAACAAGGTTGGGGCGGGGTTAAGGTGTCTGGCCTGAGAAGTCCAGTCTTCCAGTCTCCCTGCTCCGGGGGTTTCCCATGTGGTCGGCCACTGGCTGAGATCCAGAGGCCTCCGGGCCTCCAGGGGGCGCTTATCGCAACAGAGCAGCCACCCGGGCGTGGCCAGGGCTGAGCAATCATGATCACCGCCGAGGCCGAGGCCGAGTCAGCGGTCCCTAAGGTGCCCGAAGCTGGGGCAGTCAGAGGAGACCCAGAGCTCAAGGAACCAACATGGCCTTGGGTGAGCCCGGGGCCCGAGCAGGAACGGGAGCGGGGTGGGTGGTACAGGTTCGGGAGCGCCGGCTTTATGCCCAGGCATGCCCCCTGCTCCGTAGAAAGATGCCCCGATCCGGGCGCTGGTGCAGCGCATCCACCAGTTGCAGGCTGAGCGTGCGCAGGCCTTCCACCGCCTGGAGGAGTAAGTGGCAGCGCGGGGGTCGCAGGGTTCAGTCCCCTACCTGCTCCGGAGGGAGGCGTGCCGGGGCCAGAGCTGGGTCCCCGTGCAGCTGCTGGGGCCCAAGCGGGGTGGGGTTTGCGAGATGACTCAGGGTGTATCTCCACCTCCCCAGGTCCCACCCAGCGGGGTGGCTCTCCCTTCCCCGAGCTCAGCGGAGTGTCTTGGGTTCCTCTGCAGGAGTCATTGTCCTCCACACACGGGTCCAGGGACGCTTGATAGCGGGTAGGGCTTTCAGGTGGCCGATGGGGGTGCAGGGCCTGTGAGCCTGGGGCGTAGTCTCAGTACCCACCCTGCCGCAGAGGCCACCACCAGTACCTGCGCAGCGGCCCGCCATACGACTTCCCGAGCTACCGGATCACAGTGCACGAGGTGACCCAGGCCTTCGCCGCTGCCTCCAGGGAGGTGCTGGCGGTGGAGGCCGAGCTGGCCGGCCCTAGAGCGCAGCCGCTGCTCGCGGGCCACGTGCGAAGCCTACAGCAGCTGGAGCAGACACGCCTGGCCACGGTGAGGCCCTGCCCCCTACTCCAAACGTAATCTCCCCCTCGGTGGCCTGCTGGGTCCACTCTGGGCCACATAGTCAAAAGGCCAGAAGATTCCAGTCCCTGTTCCTGGACCCCCAGACCCCACCCTAGGCTTCATTTGAGATTCTCCGACCTCCTGGTCTCCACCTGTCCACAGGGTTTCATTCCAGGCTTTTAGTCCCAGAACATGTCCATCCATCCCAGTCCCTGCTCCCTGTCCTGGATGACCTGCACCCACCCCCACAACGCTCCTCCCCTCTGGCAATTCTTAATGCTTAATGCTCACCTCCCTGCATATGGGGCAACCTGGGTTTTTCAGCCCCGCCCTCTCCCCCTCACCCCCAAATAATCCTGGACCCTAGCCTAGGTTCTGGACCTAACCTTCCCTAGGGTTCCATTGCCTCTATAGCCAATCCTGCTGAGATACACTATTCCCAGGCTAAGTCCACCCAAAGCCACACCCATATCACATTCTACACAGGGATTTCCAGATCACCCACACTTGCTTTGAACATCCCAGTCCTAGTCTAGGTTTCTGGCCTACTTCTACCCTGGGATTATAGCACCCTGAGACCCTCAAAACCATGAGGCCCCACCTCCTGTGCCCCTGCAACCTGGCTGACTGCTGGTCCCACCCCATGCCAAGATGCGGCATATTCAGGTCTCTAAACTGAATCCCAGGCTCCTCCTGTGCAAAGCACCGCCCTGGCCCCACCCCTTTGCTGCTTTTCTGGTTGTTTCTTCCTGGTGTGTGTGTGGGAGGGCAGGGGTGGCCTCTTCCTGCAGTGATATCCTCCCTGCTGCCTCCCCTCACCCCTGCACCAGGTGGCCCTGCTGCAACTGATGGGGACAAAAGAGCTCACAGGGCAGGAAGACACCCTACAGTCGCACCAGCTGAAGATGAAGTGAGTGCCTCTTCCCGGTGGGCTGGCCATACTAGATTTGCACATGGTCCAGGTGCACACTCCCAGCCAAGTATGCCCTAGGGCTGGCACTGTCAGACCCTACGGGTGTGCACACTGGAGTTCACACCTGGTGGTTCCCAGACACACAGCACATTCCCCTAGTGCACACACCCTCCATTTCCACACCAGACTCACTATTCATTTCTGGGACAGCTGCACATCTCAGACACACCAATCCCACTCATGTGGCTGGACTTACAGCTTGGACACGGTCACCCAGACCCACCAAGGACAAACCTGCACATTCCTGCCCTCACCTCCCAAACACACCCCGTCCACGTGTGCCACAGTCACATTGTACACCCTCCTGATGGCACCCACCCACCCAAGATGGCCTTTTCTCTCTGCCCACTGAGACCTACAGGCCCAGCCCTGCTCCCAGGCACCCAAATGGCCCTCCTGGCTCCTAATGCCATCTAGAAGCTTGGTGGTGGGCAGGAGGGCCCAGGGCTTGCCACAGCCCCCTCAGAGCTGCACAGTGGAGGCTAACTTGCCCCATCTGGGTTTTATTTATAGTTCCCATCCACTTTTATAGGGTAATTAAAACCATGGAAGCCATCAGTGAGGTTCTCCAGGACCTCAGGTTTGATGCAGAATCTGCTGAGTGATGGTGACTCCCCAGGGACCTGCTGAGGGAGCTGGGAAATGAGTCAGGCAGCGCCCAGCTCTGACTGCCAGTTGGATAGGGTTGAACCTCACCGGGCTGTTGACCCTCCGTGAGGTCACCGCACCTCCCACAATAAAGAAACCTTCATCTGCAACTGCTCTACCGTCTCTGCATCTTGGAGTGCTGGGGTGTGTATACCTATTGAGGGGGCCCACAAGGACAGGAATGGAGGGTGGGAGACTCCCCCAAGACTGATGAAACTCTGGTGTTTTCAATCACATTCTCCAAGGAGTTTAGAACCAGATAGTTCCAATCCTGGGGAGAAAGAATCTGAAATTCTGGGAGAATTTCAATTGCAAAGGGTCATTAGAAGTCCTCATGCCTCCCCTACAGTCCCCACCCCAGGCCTCTGTAGCCCCAAACTCACCTTCACAATCAGGGAACCAAAATAGCTCGTTTATTTAAAAAGATTCTTTGGAAAGGTTCTGGTGAGGGAATTAATAACTCCTCTTTACCCTCAGCCCTGGTAGGGGTCCATAACAGCTTGGCCAACCTTCACACACACACACACACACACCACTGGGTGCACCCAAGGGTGGCCTCGCATGGAGGCCAGAGATGTGATCCTTGAAGCTCAGAGTGCCTACTCCAGCTCCTGCCAAGGGTGCCCGGGCACCATGAGGTGAGGGTACAGAGGTGGCCCAGTCTGGTTGCAGTCCTGGGTCTCCATGAAGCAGGGAGGGCAGCCTCCAGCCCCTAGAGCTTATCTGGCAGGACCTGCAGGCAGAGGTGAAGCCAGACTAAGCAGAGAATCCTACCAGGTGTCAGCACTTCATAGCAATTTAGGAGCCCCCTTTACCCCCACCCCAACCCCCCTCCCATTCAGGTCCTGGCCGGCCCTTCCTTTCAGCTGGGTGACTTTGGGCAGGGTACTGCCTCTCCCTGGGCCTTGGTTCCCCATCTAAAAAGTAAGAATATCTATCTATCCCAGGGGGATGTTCTGCAGATAAAGCCCTTGGCAAAGGCCCAGCATGCAGTAGGCGCTCAAACATGCTAACTTGGACCAGTATGTTCATTCATTCCTGAGGATGCCGTTCCACTTTGGACATTTCCAAGGAGTTGGGTGCTTACTAGATTAAAAGCCACAGGGTCAGGCACATGTGATGCTAAGTAAATGCTGGTAAATAAAACAAGAATGAAAGTGGGTGTTCACAGCCTGTTGGCCACCCGGAAGGCCCAAGTCTCCCTATAGCCCACCCACCTGGGCCCCCTTACCTCTCGCCGAGCTGCGTCTGCCCGAGGGCAGGATCCCCTCGTCCTGTGCTTGTAAGGAAGGAGGTGGTGTGTCGGGGGCTGTGCACCCACCGCCCCACCCCACCCCAGCCCTCGTCCCTTGCCCACGGGTCCCTCCTTCCTACCTGGTTTCGGGTCTTGTGCGACTTCTGCATCCAGGCTCTCCACTGGTCGTAGAGGCGGAAACTGAGGTTCGAGCAGTACGCGTGCTTCTTGAGCCAGCCCAGGAACTGCTTGAGCTCGCGCCTCACGGGCCCCGAGCTCGGCTACCCCGCGGT